GACCTTGGGAAGAGAGTCGGTTCCTAATTTCAATTTTGCTACATTCTTATATTCATGATTATTTTATTTTTGTTTCAATTGTTGATATGGCACAATTAAACCCTTTTCCCAACATTTTAAACTTACAATGCCTTTCATCCTTGAAATCTTGTACCCTTATAATGTTCCAAATCTTGAAACCATTTAATTGTACAATAGTTTCCCATCTTGAAACTTTGTAACTTTACAAGTTTTCAAACCCTGTGACCTTTTGAGCTTACAATGCTTTCTAATCTTGAAATCTTCTAACAGTACAAGCTTCCCAATCTTGAAAGCTTTGAAGTTTTAACCTTTCAATGCTTTCCAATCTTGAAACCTTTTAACCTTGCACGTTTTCCAATCCTGACAGTTTTTAACCTTACAATGCTTTCCAGTCTTAAAACCTTTTAACCTTACAATACTTTCGATCTTGAAACCTTGAAACCTTACAAGCTTTACAATTCTGACTCTTTTAACCTTACAATACTTTTCATTATCGAAACCTTCTTGTTGGTATATGTCTTTGAGCCAATTAGATTAGTCAAAGAATATATATATTTTCATTTAATGTATATTTAATCGTATAATTTTATGTGATAGAGGTTTTTCTTCATGTTAGTGCAATAATAAGGAGTTATTAAATACTAATTGGATGAAGCCCATGGAACATAAAGGCCTTGCAAGAGAATTATAAAGTTATTATAATTATGAGATCACTATGCATCAAATCCATATTCCTAAAATTGTTTCTGATCATTGTATTGCCAAGATAAAGCATTGACAATACTCAAAGACTGGTATATGTTAAGCTTCCTTACTTAGAAAGTAAGCAATCGATCTTATAGATTGAAGTATATGGGATACTTGAGGATAACATATAGGTGCTTGTTAAAGAACAAGTTCACTAAACATTACCCGCTATGAGAACTCCATTTGGTATTTCATTCAAGTATCTATGAAAAATGTTCTCATGTGATAGTCATGCAACTAGTCCTTAGACTTGAGACATCAGGTCATCTTGTATGGGGAATGATATATTTTTATTTCACCCCTATTGGTTTGGAAGCAATTAAATGCCTAAATAGGGTGTTTTTGGGGTATGCCATGAAGAATGTCAGGTGAATGAGTGGTCAAGAGAGGATTCATCACCCCAAGTGATATGAAGGGATGTATCTCACTTGTTCTCAATTCTTGATTAACTTGTATAAAGTCTTTAGCCAAAGTATGATGAATTTGAGGAAACTTAGTTTCCTAAATTCATAAGATTAGTCATAAATTATGAAAACCAATATAGAATGTCATAAGTAGACATCGAGCCATGCTTAATAACATATCCGAGATATTTGATGAAAGGACCGTATTGCACTGAGAGGCTTATCACTGAAGGGCTTTGTCAAATTCTTTAATTGACTCTCTAACATTTGGATGGTCATAATGTATTGCTAGATGCTGCTCATGATCTATAAATATAAATTAATTATCAAATTGATATTTGATTATGATTTATATTTATTGTCAACATGTTAGAAGCCTAATGGGTCAGACACACTAAGTGACATGATTAGGATTAAATAAAGATAATTAATTAAGTTGGACTTAATTGAAAGAGACTAAAATAAAGTAGAAAAGTAATTAAGTTCTTAGAGACTTAATTAAATTAAAATACAACTGTTGTATTTAGGGTTACAAATTAGTTTGGCTATATAAATATGCTATATTAGCAAACTAAAAACAAGAAAAACCCTCCAACCACTTTTCAGCCGTTTCATAAAATAAGAAAAGAAAAATAGTTTTTTTTGTTTGACAAAATTAGATTTGGTAAGAATTTTGGTCCTTTTGTTTGAGAAATAAAACTTGCTAGCACAAGTAAAATCATACTTTTGAGAAGGTCTTATTCAGTCATTGTATGGATTACTGTTAGAGACCAAACATTGGGTGGTTGAAGATTTGACAAATCCTAAAGGTGAAGAAGCAATTAGTTTGGATTTAATTGGCTCTTGATTATGATATCTAGAGCAAGGTATGTAACTCTTAAACTTATGAGTGTTTTTAATTTATTTGAAAGTTACATGAAAAATACAAATATTGATCCTGTAGGATTCGACTATTTCTTTAATTAAATATTATTTTTATTTTTTCGATGCTATATATTTTAATTTATTGATTATTTTCATGTTTAAGTATGAAGTTGAATCCTAGCACTTCTAATGTTGGAAGATTTATAATTCTAACACCTTTTAACTTGACAAGACGTTCCAATCATAAGACCTTCTAATCTTGCAAGAACCTTTACACCTTAAAATGTGCCCCAATCCTAATTGAAATTATATTCAATTTGTACCAAATGACTTAATTTGTCCTTAAATTAAAACTCACCCAACAAATAAACCTGGTAAAATATATTTAACAAATATCTTAAAATTTTGAGTTTAAATTCATGTTATATAATCAAAATTTTAGTTGAAAGCATATCTCAACATATATGCAAATTAATTGCATCATCGCGCTTACATTGTAACCATCGCAATAAATTTGCGTGATTAATTTGGCTATGTTGAAAGGTATATCTCAATAATTCGCCCCCGAACATGTCTTTCATTGGAAATTAATAACATGTTTCACATAAAAATATTATTTTGAACCAAGAAGGAACAAGGGGTCCATTCTTGACTTAGGTCACAACTTATTCCAAAGTAAATGCCTTAATGTATCAATTATTCAAAATTAGTATCTTATTGCTAAAAGGATCTATTCATACATTCACAGGGCTTATAGATCCTTTTCAGCTTTAAACAAAAGCTTAAACTTCAATTTTACAAGAACTTCAAGGAAAACCCTTTTTTAATCTAAAGTTGCTTTCTTGCAAACCCTTGTTGAGCACTCAAACTTGCATCCAAACTCATCTTAAACTTAATTTGAAAAAAAGAAACCAAATTTAATGAGCCACTAAGCTTAGCAAGTAGATTAACCATAGTTAAGGAAATGACACCCATTTATTATGAGCAGAAGCAAAAGAGACCAAATTTGAGCCATGTCCAAGTGCATTAGAATATGGTATTTTAAAGGTTATAAACAACTCTTATTGAATGGTCCAAAGGACTATTAGAAAAAAAGCTCTTAAACTTATGAAATCAAGACTTAAAACATATACAGGACGCAAAATACATATATATTTGAAATATCAACAATCTTTAGAACAAATGCAATAGTTCATATTCTTAGAAGTTCAAAAATAAATCTCAAAGTGTTTTCTTATTAATATACAAGTTCAAATATTGTTTTTATTGTTCATATAGAAATAGATTCTTATATAAATAAATCTTACCACAATAATATTCACATGCAATTTCTGAATCCAAAAGGATTCATTTCAAAATATCTAGTTTAAACAAAAATCATTTCACATAATAAAAATGTTTACAATCCTCGTCGACATCATATGATAAAATTCAAACTCCCATTAATGCATTTAGATACATCAAACTCCCATAAAGAACGCTACCAACTAGCCAAAGGTCCATATAACATATTCCTCATCCTTGCACTAGACGGCTTCAAACGCCTGCTAATGAATCGGATAGGTCAAACTCCTATTGGTTAAATCTAAAGGACACATCAAATATAGACTTCACTGATATTTCCAAAGAGGTCAAAAGGCATTTTTCATATTCGTTCATATAACAATAACTTACCATATTCTAATTGCCCCAAAGCTAGTCATATATCAATACTAGAATTCATTTTTGGTCCAGATATCAAATTCTATTAAAATGTTTCAAAAAGTTAATAAAAATGCTTCAAAAGTCTATTTTATAAAATAATAGTTTCACAAGAGTTCAAAGGAGACTTATAAAATCATAGACAGATCAGATGCTGTTAAAATGTTCTTAATATGTTTTAAGACGGAACATTTTCATAACTAAGTTCAACCCTTCATGTTCACTTTAAAGCACACAGCTCTGATGATTCTAATTGATGAATTAGCCTTTATACAAAATCAAAGAGAACTGGGCTGAACAAAATCTTAACGAAAATCAAATAAGAATTACTGATGATTTTTAATAACATGAAGGAACTAATGAATCTATGAATATACTATATATTTTCATTTGTTATAGCATTTATGTAAACTCCTTGTGCTAGGGCTTCGAGTATATCAATATATGGTTTTCCATACTATAAAATACCTTAACCAAACTAGTGAGGTAGTGACCAGGATACACTTTGTTATGTATGTCACATTCTTTTTATTTATTTTTTCGACATTAGTAGATGAGAATATATAAATCTTTGCTTAAGTCAAGGCTTTCAAATGTTGACAATTACTAATGTATGCACTGCTTGAAGAATCTATAAAAACCAAAACTGTAGAACAAAGATTTGTAGCTAACATGAAAAGCCATTTTTTTTTATATATATATATTTTGGATAACATGAAAATTAGAGAAAGTTGATTCAGACGGTGTAGAGTAACCTTAGTGAACCGTGACTTAAGATATAATCATGATACAAGTGTTAAATATTGACCTTTTCAATTAAGTTCGGCAATTATACTTTTTCTAATCGTTAGCCAAATTTCTTAATCAGCGCATGAACGAGTCCCGATCAATACATTAAAAGAATATATAAATGCCCAATTCTCGACACGATACTATAATTCCGATAAGCTAGAATAGCAGCAATCAGCTAAACTAATCAGACGAGCTTAGAATGAGTATTGGTTAGACTCAACACATAGAAGAATAGTAGTAAAATACTAATAAAACCATGCAACAGGATTATTAAATATTATTTGTTAATCCTTGCTCGGTCAGAATGTTGTAGTGTTGACCATTACTTGCTAGTCTTGTGCTTGTGCACATATATACCGTTCTCTTGGTTATTCTTTTACTCCAACACCCTTTTGAAGTGCACCTATATAAAGCCTCTTTGATCTCCTTCTCTTTGCAAATCTCTTTTTCTTGTTTTAGTTACAGTTCAAAATGGAGATTATGCCCAGCACATGTTGTGAGAACTTGAAAAGAGGCTGGAGGAGGAGAAAATACCAAAGACTCCACGGTGCAACTAGAAGCAAGCGGAAGCTTAGAATTCCAAGGCTGGGGAATATTGCAACTCGACGGGTTTGGGAATTGAAAACAATCCCAAAGCCGAGTCTGAAAATGGTTTCGCCAATCAAAATTTTGACCAAGGTTCATGGTGCTTATGTTGACATGATGATGCGATTAGTGAACACCATGGGGAAAGCTAACAACGGTGGTTTGTTTAGAGGGAAGAAGGTTGCCAAAGACCGGCATGTTTCAATCGTCTCAGGTGGTGACGAAGTCGACAGCAAATTAGTGTTGGAAATCTATAAGACGTTAGCTGCTTCTCGTGAGTTGAGAGGCCTTTGAAGCAAATGGGTTATATAATTGTTGTCAAATCATTTTTTATTATCTTTCTGTGTTCTTCTGCCTTTCTATGTATCCCATTCATATTTGGTGTGGACCTTGATAAGTTGGTTGTATGGTCTCCAGCATTTTAATTTCCGAAAGCCTTTTTTTTTTTAAACAATCCATTTTATTTATCGATGTAACATTTTAAAATAAGATTAAAGAAATCTAAATTCTGACTTTGTTTCTTTGACGTTATCAATATATACAAACGAAAGCGCTCTCGTAACTATTCTTGGAATAGTTCAAGCTCCCTCTTTTTGCTCTTTCTCTCTCATAAAGAAAAAGCACAAAGCTCTTTTTGTCAGCCATTTTGCCCCTACACTAATTTGAGTTTTGTTGTTCTTTTTCTTTCAAAAGTCTCAGATTTTTTCAAAAATTCAAAAATTGAATTTTTCAATATTTATTAGTTAAATGGTTTATAGGTGTACGATTTATCATATCTATTCTAGAACACATTTTAATGCCATGTTACTTGTAATAATTAATAATACTAGGCATAAAAATAAATAACTATTCAAAATTATATAGGATTATATTAATTTGTTGTATTTGGGGGTTAATTCCTAATGGTTGAAGAGGATGGAGAGGATAAATGAGAAGCAACAAGATGGAGGTGGGCTTTGACTTCGCCTAAATTTTATTCGAGATAATAATAAAAAGGAGGATAATGGTCGGTGGAGGTGTGTGAATAATGGGAAATGCACTTTAATTAATGGTATAATATTTTTGTCTCTTTATTTCTATTTTCTCTTTTTGCGCCTCTCTCTCTGTTTCCCTAACTTGCCAAGGCCCATCCTGCAAAGACGAAAGGGTCAGATTTGGCCGCAGCTGACGTTTACTCAACAATTGGAGCCAATGGGCCCATAATACTACCAATCTGAAAAGGGGAAGAAGATTAAGTTTTCATGTTTTTTTACGAAACCTAATCTCTTCCCCCTATCAGATGGACAACAGCAGGGCTCATCTAGCTCGAGTTATTTTCGACTAGGGCATTTCAGCCAGCTACCGTCGTGATTGGCCCCTAGTTAGCCAGAGAGAGCGAGGGAGAAAAAGGGAGATAATAACTACATAAATGAACAAAAAATAAATCAGAAAGAAAATGGAAAAAAAATCCACATACTCAATTTTCACATATGTCAATTGACACGTGTCACTAGCAGGCACTTAATGTCAAATTTTAAAAATAAAACATTAAAAATGTTGCTTTCAAAGGAATTTTAGAAACTTCATAACTATATACAAGAAAGGATTTAAGAAATAATGAGAATAATAAGAGAGTAGTTTACCGAGTAAGGAAGAGTTAAGAGAAATGGAAAATCCAAAGGTACTTATAATAGTTCAATCCTCTCCAACCTACATCCATTTCTTTGACAATCTTTGTTGAGGATTGAAAACCTAATTTGACCAAACTAGTGAAATAAGCTTTCATCAAGTTTTTACAAAGTGAATTATCCCAAGCTCAAATCTTAAGTTTTACTTACCTAACATGTGCTTCCAACACTCAACTTACAACTAATGAGAGATTACACTCTCATAAATCAAAGGTGACAACTTTAAAATATGAAACTTGATCGAAATACATCTTTTACAAAACTTATTCTCTTTCTCAAAGATAAGAATTAAGCAGAAAGAGTAAAAATAAACTAGAGATAAGTTGTTCACACTTCACAATCAAATTCCTTTCAATATGATCTCTCTAGATGGTTTGAAGTCTTTCCTTTCAACTCTTAGTGCATTTAAAAAATCTAGCATTTCATGCCAAATTCACCCATTAGATATGTTAGAAATTGCAGCACACTTAAGATTTACATGACTTGTAGAGTTGTCTGGCATCCTAGGTAATCGCTTAAGCCTCTTCATTAGTTCAACTAACTAGTTGAAATCTTGAACTCCATTCTTCATGTTAATCTCATGACCAAGGTTCTTTGATTTATTTTAGTAGTCTACTTTAGGCTTTTAAAGTCTTGCAATGCTTCTAGCCATGTTTAATCACAAAGACATGAACATTTAGTCTATTGGCCTTTGTTTGGGCTAGCTTTTAGTTTTCATTTTCATGGCATTAATTGATCCATGTTAATTGATTAACCTCACTAACTTAGCCTAATTCTCTTTCATCTTTAATTTGCTTCTACCATGACACGATTTTGGGTCATGAGAAGTGCGAGGAACAAGTAAGCAAGCCCACCAAACCAAAGCAAGCCTCAAAATCTAATAAATGGATAAACATAAATACCTAACATGATATCAGTAATAAGAAAACTTGTCTCAAACTGGTATTCATAATATATATATATACACGTATATTTGCATGTGCAAAATGGACAACAAATTTTTTCAATAACTCTATTAAAAAGTATAAATATCAAACTAGTAATATAGTGATGAATTAAAGTATCGTTCCCATGGAGATTTGTTTCTAAAGTTTCACTAAGTACTAAAATTATAAAACAAATTAATCTTATTTAAGTAATATGAAAATTGAAGAAAAACTAATTAAAAACAATTAAAAATCAACACTAAATAAACTAACAAACTAAATAAGTTGAGGAAAATAGTATATGAAAGACATAGGATTGTGGGTTCATTCAATATTTCATCTAATACCAGCCATTTTTGTTATTTATCTTTACTAGGTGGTTTTACTAATCTAGAATTCAAAGCTATGGACAATCCTAAAAAATGGTTTAACTTATAATAACTAAGAAAAACATCATCTAAAGAAAATTAGCTATCAATCCAAGTCAAAGAAATTAAGAGAAACTCAAAAGTAGAGAAAAAAACTAATAGTTGAAGCTTTTTGATCTCCCTCAAATTTTCCTGCTTTAAAACATGAGGGTGAGAGAGAAGAAGCTAAGAAGGAAGACACTGAGAAAAAAGGAATAGCCCTCAAGTGATGTACAAAGAGTGAGAGTGAGGAGGATTAGGTTATGGATATGCTAGCCAAGAGATTTAGCGAGTTTATGAAAAGAAATTATAAAAGTAGGAAACCTATAAGGAAGGATGTGCCAAAGGGAGAGCATACCAAAGACCATTTGATATGCTATGATTGCAAAAAGCCAGGACACACAAAATATGAGTGTCTAAACAAAACGAAGGTAATAATGGCCACTTGAAGTGATAGTGATGACTCCCAAAATGAGAGATATGATGAAGTTGCAAACCTTTACCTTATGGAACTTGATGACTATAAGGTATGTTCTACATTTTATGATCTTGATGCATATACTCTTGATAAAAATGCCTATTCATTTGATGAGTTACAAGATGCATATCATGACTTGGTATATGAATTTGAAGAAAAGACCTTGAAATTCAAAAGCATCATGTCAAAGCTAAGAATAAGAGATGTGATACAATGAAAAACTTGTTCTCGTAAAGGACAATTTAGCAAATCCATTTACTAGGGCTCTGTCCTAGTAGAAGTATGATTGTCACATGGAAGGACGCAATATTAGATACATAGGAAATTGGTTTTAGTGTAAGTGGGAGATTAAAAGAAATAATGTGTGACCTATAAGCCAATTGATTGAGTTTACTGAGATACATTATGTAATTTAAGCTTTTGAATTTATTAGAAGGTATTCTTTATATTCATATTATTGTTATTATCAACTCGATAAGGTAAAGTCTAACAAATTATAAATTGTTATGATTATGAGATTTTCATTCCTTCAAAGCATAAAATATTCCTAGTCAATGCTTTATAGAGACTAGAAGTTAACAAAGCCAAGAGACTAACACATGGTTATTGTAATAACTTGAGTACAGACACCACTAACCCAACAACTTCTCATGCACAAATCATAAGGCTCTCAAAAGCTTAAGCTCAAGTTGCTAGTAATGAATGATTTAGACTTTTATATAGGTTTTAATAATCACATTCATATTTAATGTGAGATGGGATAATGTAAACCTATCCACTTAAGTCCTTAATGTGCTCATCAAGTTTACTCATCACACTCACAAGCAAAACCCACTCCTCAAGATCAACTCACTAGCACAATATGGCAGCCATATCGAGCTGCACATATTTTAATATCAATTGTAACAACTTGTATCCAAGCACCATTTTTCCAATAACTTTTCAGGCCTAAACAACGTAATTTTCAAAAACTTAAGCTCAAGTTACCTGTAATGATTTACTTAGATCTTTATATAAGTTTTAACAATTACATTCATGTCCAATGTGATACGTCAATGAAAATCCAAACAAGTGAAAACTTAATTGAACAATAAATTATACACACGAGAGACAAGAATTTAATGTTTAGTACTCAGCTTGTTGACATTCACAACAAGAGAAAAGATCCATTATGTTGTAGAGAATTACAAATAGACTTAAATCATTAATACTCAAACTAAACTCACCATTAATCCCAAACTCACAAACTTATATACATAAACTCATTGGTATGAGTATTCTTGTTAACTCTACACAAGAGCACTCTCGTGCAGTCTCACAAAACTTAATCACACATTAAACAGTCAAACACATGCACATTCTCCTTTACCTTCATGAGCTTTTTACACTCCCAACCATATAAAGCCCTAAAACACATTTTACATCTTTCTCTCATACCTTTCATCATTGATACCTCTCTATTTATATAAGTCCACAACCAAGAATTTCTTTCCACTTAGAATTCTTGCCTAAAAAGTCTTCATATCTATCAGGTAAACTTGATTACCAAAAAATATCTCTAGTCAACCAAAATATTCAATCCAAATATTTGCAATTTGAGTTATGATTACTAATATATATGTGTCTGTATAAAAAAACTATTATTTCGTATTTCTATTATGGCCTCTATATGATCAAGCATTAAGATTTTTTCATTGTATTTCATTACTTACTTTTTGCTATATATGTTGTGTGCATATATGTATACTGTATATATATATATATATATATATATTGTAAACACTTTATTTTGTTCAAAATTGATTTCTTTTTATTA